CTTTTAGTATTCTCTTCTTTTGTTGGATTTCTAGGATGGTGGTTATTATATGTCTGGGTGTAGTTTATTTTTGTTATGGCTATTTGGGGTTCTATATGCTTCACTGATGCTGATATCAGTTTCTATTCTCATGTTTGGGAAATTTGCATTTATTACTTCTCTAAATATCCTCTTGACATCCTTTATGTTGTCCCCTTCTTTTATCCCTATCAATCTTATGTTGTTTTTCTTTGCATCATCTTGCAGCTATTGAATTGCTATTTCCTGATTTTTTTGTTATTTTTAAAAGATCTTTCCTTTCCTGTTCACTAGCTGCAATGTTGTCTTCAAGGTCTGAAATTCTATCTTCACTTCCATTGAGGCAGTTTTTACAACTTTCAGTGGAATTTTTGATTTTCTGTGTATCTCTTTGTATCTGATTTATGTTTGTTTCTTATATTGTTTGTTTCTGTTTGTTTCTTGTATTGTTCATCCAGGGATTCTACCTTTTTGTTCAGTTCCTCCAATTTTTTAACTGTGTCTTCTTTAGATATATTCATCATCTCTTTCATTTCTTTTATCATTTCTTATTTTACCTGGGAGATTATTTCTAGTTTGAATTCCTTTAAAGCTTCCCAGAGTTGCTTATTTATTTCAGTTGCTATTATGTCAGGTATTTCAGGTATATGGCATATGTTTTCTTCTACGTACATAACTCCTAAGGTTTCTTGGGATGTGCTGGAGGTTTGAGATTATAATTTGGTGTTTCATTTTGTCATTTTCCTATATTTCTGTGCTTCAAGTGTTATTCCAAGGCTTCCCCAAGGCCTATTGGAAATCTTCTTCTATGTCCTCAGCTCCTGGGACTCTGGCTGCCCGGTTCCCCAGATTGAGAGTGGGTCACTGGAAGTGGGGCAGGCCAGCTCAAGAACCACGGAGCTTGTCCAGTGTAGCAGGAAGCTGGGATGGTCCCTGTCTGGAGCTGAGTGAGGAACCCAAAGTAGCTGGGCTTGGGGGATGTTGCGGAGATGTCGATGTCCGCTCCCGGCCGGCAGGAAGGACACACGACAAAGTCTGGTAGTGGACAACCTTTTCTTTTTATTTTCCTTCTCCGTACAGCCTGCCCTGGGATCGCTCCCAGCCGAAGCCTCCTCTGGTCCGCTCCCCGCGGCTCCTTTTGTGCTTCAGTCTGCCCCAAAGCCTCTACCGGTCCTCTCTCCGCGGCTCCTTTTGGGCTTCTACTTCCGGGCTTCTATCTGGCTTCTACTTCCGCCCAGGGGTGGCACCGGTATATATACGGGTACAGTGTCCAATCATGTTAAAGTAAGCAAGGCAAGCTGATTGGCTAACATCATCAGTTGCCAGGCAGACTATATTGTTGAGCGGGTTGTTTACGCGGTAAGCAGGAAACTAACATATTCGATGGGAGGGGTAATCTACCCCAGGCTTTGCTCTTTACCACAGGCCGCACGTCCGCCAAGTGAGGCGACCTATCACAGACGCGGCTCCCAACATCTCCCCCTATTTTATTTTTTATGAATGTGCGCATCGTAGCCCTTTCTGGACTGGGTGCAGAGGCTTATGCCCTATGCGTAGGCCCACCGTAGGTCCTTGGCTTAGACCCTGGTCGGCCGTCCCATGGTCTGCCAAGGCCCTGAGGCCCTCGTCCTTTTTCTAGGGCCAGGCACAAACTGGACGGAACCTGGATGCACACAAGCTTGCACTCATTTCCTCTCCGTAAAGAAAATCCCCTCGGAGAGAAATTTAGACCTGGGCAGCATCTAACAGTCCAGCGGCTTACGTGCAGGATGGGGTAGGGCCTGTCTTAGGTTGAGTCATGCTGGGGAGGCATGCTCTTACCCGTCATTGACTCTCCTACCCAGCTATGTCATAATTTTTTAGAGGAGGAGTGTGGGAAGCTCACCACCCCTAGACTCGGTCGTAGGCTAGGCGAGCGAGCCATGCATATGCCTGAGGATCTTCTTGTCCATTTCGGGCTACCGCTATTTCTATTCATCTTGTTGGTTGGTCTGTGATGGATCTCCGGTAGGGCAGGTCTGATCTTCAGTCGAGGGCTTTGTCGCCCGTGTCAGTCTCTCCGGTACCCACAGTGGTTCTCGTCCCGGTTCCTGTGGGAAAACACAAACCGCGCCTCGGTTCCAGCTGACCACTGGATCCGGGCCCATCCATTGTCCTGTCAGGACATCTTTTCACTTCACCCACCCTTTATGGTTGGGGGAAGGGTTGCAGTGCTCCACAGCTGGGGAGCGATTATCATTATTTAAATTTAAAAAATTGTGTGTGAATAGTGCCATGGATAATCGTGCCTTTGGGGCCAGGCCTTGGCCTACTCCCCCTTTTTGTTTTTTATTTTTTATTTTTTATTTTTTATTTTTATCTTTTTCATTTTTTTTTTTTTTTTTTTTTTTTTTTTTTTTTTTTTTATTGGTACCAGGGATCGAACTGGCGATTGCCTGCTTACAAGGCAGGCGCTTATGCCGCTAAGCTAAATCCCCAGCCCCCATAGCTACTTGTACAGGAAATATCCCGTAGGGGCCACTATCTATCCCAGGTGGATGTACCTCATGAGACAAGCGTCCCCCCTGCCAAAGCCGCCTGTAAAAATACCGACCCGCCGGCGGCGGAGCATAAGACAGCAGCCGTGATTGGGCGGAAAATGGGGGCCCGTGCATCACTTCCTGTTCTGGCGAAAGGGGAGAGAGCTCCCAGGCGGCCGCCTCGTGGCGAGGAATCGCCTCCGGAAAAGGCCCCCAAGGTGGGGCGGAAGGCTTCGCCTCCCTCTCGCGCCGGGGAGCGCTCAGGAGCTCTCTACTCCTCCGCAGACCAGGTTGAGCAGAGCGCAATTCGCGGGGCAACGCTGGAAAAGAACCCTGCGACTCCTTATTGAGCGATTTAGGCTCCTGACAGCTAGTCTCTTTGGCCTCCTTGCCATTCAACTTTCCCTCGTCCTCGGAGTCAGACGACTCCGAGGCTAGAGCCCCGTCCTCCTCCTTAGCATCCTTGTTCCCCTTAACGGACCCCTCTCGGGAGCTCCCTGACTGGGCCTGCTCAGATACCCTGCGTACTTTTGTAAGCTCTTGAGAGCTTTCTCCACAACCACCCTCGCTCTTAGTGTTGCTACCTAACATGTTTCCCATCTTTTAATATGTTACTCACCGCGTGAGGCCCAAGGAATCCGCCACTTACGCGTGAGCCTGAGGGGAGTCTAAAAGCCCTGTAGGTGCGCGCCACCCAGAGCCCAGGCTTATCCCCAACTCACCTGTCTCGCAGCTCTGTACTGGAGCGTTGTCCACTTCCACGTCTCGGGGGTGATCAGTCCCCGGGCGGGCCTCCAAATGTCGATGTCCGCTCCCGGCCGGCAGGAAGGACACACGACAAAGTCTGGTAGTGGACAACCTTTTCTTTTTATTTTCCTTCTCCGTACAGCCTGCCCTGGGATCGCTCCCAGCCGAAGCCTCCTCTGGTCCGCTCCCCGCGGCTCCTTTTGTGCTTCAGTCTGCCCCAAAGCCTCTACCGGTCCGCTCTCCGCGGCTCCTTTTGGGCTTCTACTTCCGGGCTTCTATCTGGCTTCTACTTCCGCCCAGGGGTGGCACCGGTATATATACGGGTACAGTGTCCAATCATGTTAAAGTAAGCAAGGCAAGCTGATTGGCTAACATCATCAGTTGCCAGGCAGACTATATTGTTGAGCGGGTTGTTTACGCGGTAAGCAGGAAACTAACATATTCGATGGGAGGGGTAATCTACCCCAGGCTTTGCTCTTTACCACAGGCCGCACGTCCGCCAAGTGAGGCGACCTATCACAGACGCGGCTCCCAACACGGAGACACTCACCCCAGGCCACCCAGCCTCTGGAATGGATGGTGCCAGCTTACTTCCCTCTCATTCTGCAGCTGGGAAATTCAGTGGCGAATTCTCTTCCTCCTTTGGAAAGGTTTCTCAGGCACCTGACCCTCACATGATGAGAAAGAGCTGCTTTTCTGCATGTGAACATGGACTGCCTTCTCCCCAGAGGCAAAATGGGATGCAGAAGAAAGTATTGATTTTTTAAAATTTATTGGTACTATTTAGATATATATAATGATCACCTTCATTATAGGAAACTGGTACCCCTGTATGACACATCTTGGTTTCTCTCTTTTCCCAGTCTCCTTCCCTTCCTCCAACTTCTTTTTCTTTGCTTATTTACAAAACTCTGTTTCCATTTTATCTTTCTTTTATCATTTCTTGAAATATTGATTATGATACAACTAAAACTATACTGTAAGAAATAGGAAAAATGGTCAGAATTACCTTATGTTCAGACTCTCTTTGCATTGAGAATCCTTCTGTTTAAAATGTAAGTGTAAACCACGAGAAAAACAGACACCTCTAACTGATCCTTAAGGTAAAAACCAGTGCATCTACTGTCACTGAGCCTGAGGACCCCCACCCGGCAAGGCTCCCAAGCCAACCCTAACCAAAGCTCTCACCCACCCCTGTCTGATTTATGCAAGTCCTTAAGGACAGTATCTCTTACAGGAGGTAGATGGAGAATTTGACCCTACTTGTGTCCATGCATCCTCTTCTCTCAGTGACTTCAAACGGATCAGAAAAGATCTGGGAAAGTTTTGAGGTGATCCTGATAAGTACATTAAAGTCTTTACTCAGACCTGTGAACTATACTGGAAAAATGTAACATTACTGTTAAAATCAAACAGCGACCTCTGATGAGAGACAAGCACATTTACAAATTGGTATTACATTCGGAGATGAATATCATATTCTTAATTTTAATAGGTCAGAAGACAGGTATCCAGGGGGAAGGCTGGTCCCTACTTCAGCCTAAATGGTCCCTACAGAAGATCCCTAAGGGCCTACCAACCAGACAAGAGATTAGAATAGGAAACATCTTCAGACAGGTATACTTGGAGGTCTGGAGGGACAAGACTAAGTTACCCTTCTGTTACTTTAAATCGTCAACTGTTCTTGAGGAGAAGGATGTGAATTCCTTCCCTTTAGTGCTCACTTCTGCAGCACATACACTAAAATCGGAATGATAACAGAGAGGATTAGCATGGCCCCTGTGCAAGGATGACATGCAAATTCGTGAAGCATTCCATACTTTTACAATACTTCATGCAACAGGAACTGAAAAAAAAAAAGCAAGGGCAGGTATTCTGTTTGCAGACAATGTGAACTTCAAACCACTAATGATCAGAAGCGATAAAGAAAGTCACTACATACTGGTTAAGGGCAAACTTCAAGAGGAAGAGATAACAATATTAAATATGTATGCACCAAATTCAAGAGCACCCAGTTATACAAGGCAAGTATTTACAGAAATGAAAAATCAATAAGAAATAACAAAATTATAACAGGAGACCTTATCACACCATTGACACCAAGGGACAGATCAACCAGACAGAAAATCAGCAAAGAAATAAGAGAACTCAATCACACCTGTGAACAAATGGACTTGATAGACGTATACAGAGTGTTCCATCCAGCAACATCAAAATATACATTCTTCTCAGCAGTGCATGGGACATTCTCTAAGATAGACCATATACTAGCCCACAGAACATATTTAAATAAAAGAAAAGAATTGAAATTATCCCATGCATGTTATTGAATCATAGCACCGTAAAACTAAAATTTAATGATAAAAGAAACTGCAAAAACCCCACAAACACATGGAAATTTAGTAGTATACTTTTGAGCAATCAGTGGGAAATTAAAGAAGAAATTAAACAATACCTACAAGCAAACAAAAATGCAAATACAACTTACTGGAATCTGTGGGATGTAATGAAAGTAATCCTCACCAGAAAACTTATTGCACTGCATTCCCACATCAGGGAAACAGAACAAATACAAATAAACAATGCGATGTTAACCTCAAACATCTAGAAAAAGAAGAGCAAGTCAATCCCAAAGCCAAAAGAAGGGAGGAAATTATAAAAACCAGAGCACAAATTAATGCAGTAGAGGGTAGGAAAACAATCCAAAGAATCAGTGAATCAAAGAGTTGGTTCTTTGAAAGAATAAATAAAATTGATAAGCCACTAGCCAACCAAAAGCTCAAATTCATGCAATAAGGAATGAAAAAGGCAAAATCACTACAGACTCTGTGGAAATACAAAAGATCATCAACACCTATTTCAAAAACCTCTACTCCTATAGGTTTGATAACACAGAAGAAATGGACAGATTCCTAGAAACATATGAAGTACCAAAGCTGGGGCAAGAAGATATAACACTGCTGAATAACCCAATTTCTATTAATGAAATTGAAAATGTAATTAAGTCCTTTCCTACAAAGAAGAACCCAGGCCCAGATGGATTCACTGCAGAATTCTACAAGAAATACAAAGAAGACCTAATGCCGACACTCCTCAAACTCTTCAGTGGAATCGAAAAGGAAGCAATCCTTCCTAAGTCATTCCTGGAAGCAAATATTACTGAGAAAGACCCAACTGAAAAAGAGAACTACAGGCCAATCTCCCTAATGAACACAGATGCAAAAATCCTCAATAAAATACTGGCAAACAGAACGCAGCAAATCGTCAAGAAGATCATACACCATGATGAAGTGGGATTCATACCAGGAATGCAGGGATGGGTCAACATATGTAAATCAATAAATGAAATCTACCATACCAATAAAGCCAAAAGTAAGAATCACATGATCATTTCTATAGATGGAGAAAAAGCTTTTGATAAGGTCCAAAACTCATTCATGATAAGAACTTTACAGGAAATTGGAACAGATGGACTTTACCTCAATATGATAAAGGCCATCTATGACAAATCAACAACCAGCATCATATTAAATGGCCAAAAAATGAAGGCCTTTACCTTAAAATCAGGCACAAAACAAGGGTGTCCCTTATCACCATTCTTATTCAATATAGTACTGGAAATATTAGCCAGAGCAATTAGACAAAAGAGAGAAATAAAATGTGTAAAGATAGGAAAAGAAGTTAAATTATCATTATTTGCAGATGACATGATACTACATAGAAGACCCTCAAAACTTCATTAAAAGACTCCTAGATACAATAAATAAATTCAACAATGTAGATGGATAAAAATCAATACTCAAAAATCAATAGCATTTCTATACACTAACAACAAAATCACGGAGAGAGAAATAGGAGAAGCCACACCCTTCACACTAGCATCCAAAAAATTAAATACTTTGGAATTAATCTCATGAAAGAAGTAAAAGATCTACACAGGGAAATTATAATACCCTGAAAAAAGAAATTGAAGATGATCTCAGAAAATGGAAAGACATCCCTTGTTCATGCATAAGAAGAATAAATATTGTAAAAATGGCCATTCTCCCAAAACTGTTATACAGATTCAATGCAATCCCAATGCAAATACCAACAACATACCTCATAGATCTAGAGAAATCACTCCTAAAACTCATCTAAAACAAGAAGAGACCTAGAATAGCAAAGGCAATTCTAAGCAGCAAAGGCAAGGCAGGAGGCGTCCCAATCCCTGACTTGAAGTTTTACTACAAAGCTACTGTAATAAAATCAAGATGGTACCGGAATCAAACCAGAGCTGAAGATCAATGGAATAGATTAGAAGATACAACCACGACTAGAAACACATTCAGCCACCTTATCTTTGATAAAGGGGCCAAACATGTTCACTGGAAGAACGACAGTCTCTTTAATAAATGGTGCTGGAAAAGCTGGCTCTCCATATGCCGAATGCCGAAAACTAAAACTAGACCCATGCCTATCACCATGTACTAAAATAAAATCTAAATGGATCAAAGATTTGAATATTAAAAAAGAAACACTAAATCTGTTGGAAGACAAATTAGGTAGAAATCTTGAAGACATAGGGGTAGGTAGAAAATTCATGAACAGAAATCAAACCACATGGAACTACTTCACAGAATCAATAGCTGGGATCACATCTTATTAAAAAGTTTCTGCATGTCAAAAGAAATCTCCAGCATAGTGAAAAGAAAATTGACAAACTGGGAAAAAAATCCTAGTGAACTATCCCTTAGACAAAAGACTTCTGTCTAAAACATATAAAGAATTAAAAAAAAAAAAATCAGACCACCGAAATTCAAGGATCCAATCCAAAAATGGGCATCTGAGATGAATACACAGTTCTCAGATGAAGAAATACAAATGGCAAACAAATACATGAAAAAAGGTTCATCATCATTAGTCATTAGAGAAATGCAAATTAAAACCACACTGAGATTCCATCTCACTCCAGAAAGAATGGCCAGGATCAAGAAAACTACCAACAACAAATGCTGGAGAGGCTGTGGGGAAAAGGAACTCTCCTGCACTGTTGGTGGGAGTGTAGACTCGTGCAACCATTGTGGAGGTCAGTCTGAAGATTCCTCAAAAAGCTGAGATTCGAAATCCCATTTGTTTCAGCTATTCCACTTCTAGGCATATTCCCAGAAGAACTGAAAACATCATACCACAGTGATACATGTGCACCCATGTTTATAGCAGTACAATTTGTAATAGCCAGATCTTGGAAACAACGTAAGTGTCCATCAGCTGAGCAATGGATAAAAATAGTTGTGGTATTTTTATACAATGGAGTACTACTCAGCTATAAAGAAGGATCACATTGAGATATTTATAAATAAATGGACACAACTGGAGACCATACTCATAAGTGAAATAAATCAAAGTCACATGTATAAATACCATATAGTCTCCCTAGTGTAAGAAATGCTAAGAGTACATAAGAGTATATGGTAATCTTGATTCCCCATTACATTGCTTTCAAGCCTTATAATGTTTGCATTCATTAGTTGGAATGGGTTTATCCTGGTCTGTTTGATTTTATTGTCTGTGATGGTATGAACAGCTATTTTGAAGAAAACAAGACATTATAATAGCCAGTGCTGATTTAATATCATCCTACTCTGAAGTCCTACCATGCTTTTGTTCTTCTGTTTCCATTGGTTCTATCATGTTGTTTCTTGTTGGATTGTATTACGTGTGATAGATTAAGCAAATTTTCTATGGAAAATGAGATAAAATAGTAGCCATTGTTCATTTTTTGTTATTTGGTTCTGAATGCCCTGTAATACTTTCATTATGTTGAATGGTTTCATACTATTTTGTTATGTTTGATACTATTATTATATGAAGTTATGCTCAACTATTTCAAAGAAAGAGACATTATGGTAGTTACTGTTAATTACGGGTTGTCTCCTGGTGAAATACTGTGTTGCTTACATTGTTATGTTCTGTTCTGCTTTGTTACGTCCTGTTTTGTCTTAATCTCTTTAAAATAAATATAAAAAAATTTTTAAAAAGAATTCATTCCCTTTCTTAAACCAGTTACAAGACACATTGAGAAAACACACATTCCTGGCTCTTGACTCAGTAGAAAGCCAAGTTATTCTTAAAGATAATTTTATTACCCAGTCAGCCTCAGATATTAGGAAAAAGCCACACAATCTGACTTGTAGTTTAGATAGTTCACTGCCCACTTCAGTGAAAATTGCTGCCTCAGTATTTCATAATAGCGATCAGAAAGAGGCCAAAGGAAGAAAACAGAGACTAAGAGGAAGAGGCCGCCTTGGTTGTGACTCTAAGCCTGATTCTTGGGGCCCCAAGAAGAGCTGGATGACTAAACCCACCTGTCACCACTGCAAAAAGCCAGGCCACCTTATGAGGAACTGTGATAAGAATCATCACGACAAGAGGGCCTTGTGCCATGCCCTGTCTGCAAAGGTGACTACTGAAAGTCTTCCTGCTCCCTGAGATGGAGGCCCGGGGGACCGGACCCATCTTACCAGCTACTCCAGCAAGACTGGAAAGCCCAGACATTCTCTGCCCTGGCCAGACTGTCACCTGCATGGAGAAAAGAAACTGGCTCACTGCTGGACACTATCTTATTGTGTCTCTCAGTCCTTTTCGACCTTTGCCTTTCTTCAAGTGGTCAGACTGCAGTGAAAGGCGCCTCCAGGGAGGAGGTAATTCACTGTTTCTCACAAGCCTTAGGCTGTAACCGGGATGCCCCCCTTTTTGTATCAGGAATCAAACTCAGGACCTTCCGCTTGCCAGGGCCAGGCAGGTGCTGTGCCACTGAGCTATGTCCCCAGCCCCAGGCCTTT